GAGCACCACTTATATAGTGCTCTCCAGGCACAAACATCACCAGGGATACAAACTTACAGAGACGCTCCGCTTCCAGCGCGACAAACACCTCGTGAACACCAGATAGCAGCGCGAGTCAGTGTCGCTCCTGGACGGTGAGACACCTACTCAAGCTCAACTGATGAGGGGTGAATTCCCCGAAACACTGTGTATTGAGCAGGGAGTGGTGCTTTCTTGCAGGTTTGCCGAGTCGAAGGTTCGATGGACTTCTCGTGTGCTCTGGATGGCAGTCGTGAGTCAGTCAAGTGTCAAGTAAAGTCGGCGGAATAGCGCGAGCTCCGGTGTGGGGAGCGAACCTTTCTTACAAAATCATCGCCGAAGTCGCAACCACTACTTCGTATTATTATTATTATTAACTTTTATTTTACTAGGGTGTTTCCCATTGTATTGCCACTTACTGCATGCACCTCTTTTTCCCTCCATAGCTTTCGTTATATTCTGAAGGCTGCGCTTGCGCAGTGTAGTTCTCCTAGTAGTTCTCCTAGTAGTTCTCCTAGTCGTTCTCCCAGTAGTTCTTACAGTTGTTCCTCTAGTATATCTCCGAGTTGTCTTCTCCTCATAATTGTCCCAGTCCTCTACTTTAGTCCTCTTTGTGTTCAGGCAATATAACTGTTATCATAACCTACAATTCCGTGCTGCCGTATAAAGAGTGTGATATTAAAAGTAGAGTAGTAACGTAGAGTACGGTAGTAAGATACCATAATTATTACATAAGACAACACTGCGACCATCACCAAGAGTACATACTAGCAAGAGTACATAACCCCCTTTTGGTTATGTACTCTTGATACTAGTAACCCCAAGAGTGTGCAACTCCAGCTATGGGGTCTGCGACGGCAGAACTTCACATCACGTGATGAACCCGTACACATTATTTGCACTCTGTGCATGATAGATACAGGGTTGTACGCAGCCCAGCTTTGGGTACAACTCTCTTGTGGTCACTTTGCACTGTTTGCCAGCATAACCTTTTGAACCATGTCACGTGATGTGAAGTTCTGCCGTCGCAGCACAGCATAGAGAGGTTGTGCAGGCAGTTGCACACTCTTGGGGTAGACTAAAGGCCTCGTTTACACGACAACGATTGAAAAACGTTTTTGTCAAAAACGTTTTCAAAAGAATACGCTTCCACAGATTTTGATAAGAGCGTTTACACGACAACGCTGAAAAACGTTTCAAAAACGTTTCAAACGAAAAACGGCCTTCAAAGTGTTTTTCAATCGTTTTCGTTCCGTTTCGTTCTCGTGTAAACGGCAAAAACGTTTTTCTAGTACGAGCCCTGTACTCAAAACATGCCACCGCCAGCCTGCGCCAGGCCAACTTCTTGCACGTGACCATTGCGCGCCGAAAAACGTGTTGCAGTGTACACGATTATCGTTTTCGTGTAAACAGCAAAAACGTTTCGAAAACGATTGAAAAACGTTTTTCAATCGTTGTCGTGTAAATGAGGCCTAACTTAGCCGGAAAGAAAAGCGATCCTGTCAGCTTTTCTATTACAGGTGATCTCTGAGTTGACCAGTTTCCTTCGATTCATTTGCTTATGCTCACCCTTTCATTTACGGAAACGTGTGCTGATTTTATTCGGATTTAGATCCATTTTTATCTCTTTGCCCTTGCCTACAGTGTGCGAAGAACGCGAGTTCACCTTCTTGACGGTAAGGCTTATGTTAGATGTGTTGTCGAAATACTCATATTCATTGCACATTAGTACGTTACAAGTAAGGCACTGGTCAGTGGCATACTATCGTTGGCAGTTCCCAATCTGGAGGGAAAGGTTCAAGGACTCATTGACCGAGTTTGCCAAATAAATTCGCATATCAGGGAAAATCTCCATTGTGGAGAGGTTCAGTAACTTGTTTGCTTCATACGAAACAAGCCAATGGGTGCAGTCTCGTCTCGTGAAAATCTCGTACTTGTATGATTGGATTTGTTTAATCGAGTCTGGGCTGTTTGATTTGTGAGTACCGCCGAGATTGCACTGCCCCAAATAAAGTTTCGTGCCGCTAAAGCAAGAATTACGATCTGCAATCTGTTTGTAGTACCTGTAGTACCTGCAAGAATGTGCAATACATGTATCGTACTTTCTCTGTTGCTGTTTCAGTTGCCGTCATGTTGCTAAAGAAAGGTTCAGTAGAGAGGTTCTGCACAACGAAAATTCGAACGAAGTTTCACGACGGTCCTTGCGAAAGTGTGTACGAATTTTTGCACGAACTTTGCGTTCTGCACATTTTCGTAGTTTGCGCGGGCCAAGTGTACGCACACCATGACCCGATGGCCGATCTCACGAAATTTCCTACGATAGTTCATTTCGCGTTCGCTGCAAGTAACAGTAGGGAGGTTCTGCTCTACGTTTTGGGAACGCGACGCAAAGAATCACGCGAACTCTCTTCGCGTTCCCGTAACGTAAAGAAATGCTGTTCTGCTCTACGTAACGTCGTTTCACCTGGAGAAGTCACTTGGAATGTGTACTGGGAATTTTCCCTTCCATATTTGGCAGTTTTCTGCATGCAGTTGATCGATACCCAGCAAATCCGTACGCATTTTCTCTGCGTGTGCCACAACGTAGAGAACCCCATCTCCGCGTAGAAATCTGGAGCCAAAACACGCGAAGCCGTAGACTCTAACCCAGACACCTGCTCTCTACGTGATTTCTCTACGAGCAGGTGTCTGGGTTAGAGTCTACGGCTTCGCGTGTTTTGGCTCCAGATTTCTACGCGGAGATGGGGTTCTCTACGTTGTGGCACACGCAGAGAAAATGTGTACGGATTTGCTGGGTATCGATCAACTGCATGCAGAAAACTGCCAAATCGCTGATGTGCTTGCGTGGTGCACGCAAGGCATTCTCACCAGCAATGGCCTCAGACTCGGCAGCGCTTGTTGTTGCTGAAGCAAGAATCTCAGCTTCAGGCTTACATTATTATTATTATTATCTGTCAAGTGTCATTAATGACATTGTACAGGATCATCACCGCGTGCGCTAGATCTAAAAAAAAAAAAAAAAAAAAAAAAAACTGCCAAATATGGAAGGGGAAATTCCCAGTACACATTCCACGTGACTTCTCTAGGTGAAACGTAGAGCAGAACAGCATTTCTTTACGTTACGGGAACGCGAAGAAAGTTCGCGTGATTCTTTGCGTCGCGTTCCCAAAACGTAGAGCAGAACCTCCCTAGTTAGTTTCGCGTCCAAAGTTGCGAAAGTTCGTGCGAAGTTTCGCACTTCATGATGTAGAGCGAAAGTTTGTACGCATTTTCGTTTTGCAGAACCTCTCTAGTGACTCATTTGTTTCATACCAGACGCGACGAGTCAATGAGTTGGCGTGGCTTAGAATCTTTCGCTGTAGAAAAAATCTATTCGTATGTCTATTGGAGAAATAATTGTATTCACTGGTTATAAAATAGGTTAAGACAAACTCACAGAATAAAATACCATCTGCCCCTTGGTGTTCGTCCTAAAGAGGTTCGACTGGATATCATTCATACTCACCAAAAGATGTGTAAGATTTTATTATCATGGAGTTCCTTGTTTATCTCTCAGTATCAGTACCTCCAACCATAGCCTTGACCCTTTTATCCCCAGGATCAGTGTAGTTGTTGGAACGAGATGTCGGACTCAGCAATGTATTTGTTTACATTTTAATACATGTTTATTGTTCCTCCTTTGCTGTGTTGTTTTAGAAAATCGTGGACTAACAGTTTGAAGTCATTGAACTACTTCCAAAAGTTGTATCGACATCAACAGGATTACGATTTCAGTGCAATATGATGCTGGATGACCTTATCACGATATGTGACGATAACCCATGATTATAAACCATTATAAACACAGAATCAACAAAAACATCTGCGACACGCACCTGGCGCATGGCTACATTTCTCAAATGAATCTGATAGAGGGTGGGGAAATCTGAAATATCTGAAAGGCAAGACAAATTTATGACAGAGTCATGAAATTCTGCAACAGCAACATGCACAGAATGACCTCCGTATAAAAAAAGGATAACCTCCACTACTCACATGTTCCCCCGCAGAAGAACATGCATTATGCTAGTGCCATTTTCTGCAAGAAAAGGCTTGCACAGCAATGCGTATAATACGGTATTGATATGATCAAGAGCAGGGAGTCGTAAAATACCGGGAGGCGACACGCCACACATTTCACGATCCGAGGATTGCCGCACTCGACCCGCGAAATTTGAAGCGTGATTGAAACGTCGTCGTCATCTTCTTTTTCTCAATTGTTTTTGCTATAATGCTTCGAGGCTATTCTGGATCTCCAGAGCGAAAGCTGGTTGTTTCTGATACGTACCACGCATTACCTTAGGTTGAGCCGTGGCTTTTAATTTTTTTTGGAAGTTCACTGCTTTGGAGACGACGGAATGTCAAGGTAAGTTATTCACGAAATGTACTCAAATTTGAATTGAGTCAATGCGAATGACACCCTGTTTTCGGAATAGTTCTCCACTAAACACACCATGCCCATGGCCCCTTCATGTTGTCCAAGTTCCATTCTAGGTTTGTGTGAAGTTTCGAGATGAAGTTCGACGATGTACTCACCTTTCCATGGAAGGGAAAAAAAAGTAGCATATCAAACAGAATCCATGCAGTATTTGATGCCACTATCCTCATTCTTCTGCATTCAAAGTGTTTCACATCTATATGGCCCATGAACTGCAAACAATATTTGTCATTTCTTAACTGTTCATAGCTGTTCATAACTGTTCTGAACACATTGCCTTCAGGAAACGTAAGGCCGAGTCGCCTCACCGACTGAGCAAAGTTCTCTGCGACGAAAGTCACACTATCGGCGAATGCACTCAAGGTGAATACCCGTCAATATCCTGTATACTGCTTGTACCGCTTATCACAGTAGCATACACACAAGCACACATACACACACACACACACACACACACACACACACACATGCATGCTCGTGCACACACAAGCGCAAAATTCACATATCACTGGTTCAGTTGTTTTTATCTGTGTCGTATTTTGTCTTATACAGAGCTTCCGAGCCACGCCGAGTCACCTGACCAACTGAAGAAGGTTCTGTGCGACGAAAGTCACACTATCGGCGAATGCACTCAAGGTGAATACCCTGTGGACTGCTTATACCACTTATCACAGAAGCACACACACACACACACACACACACACACACACACACAAGCGCAAAATTCACATATCACTGGTTCAGTTGTTTTTATCTGTGACGTATGGTGTCTTATACAGAGCTTCCGAGCCACGCCGGGCCACCTGAATTCTCCAAACAAGGCTGAAGGCTTGTCACGGCATCCTTGCCAAATAAAGGTATAAGCTGCAGCAAGTTGTCGTTGCGACACCTTGCTCCTTCCAGCTCACGCCGCACGGCCACCAAGCACCAACCACCATGGTACTTTTCAGCAAGGTGAGACAAATTGTCAATCACCGGTTCGGGGATGGCTTCAGCAGCTTTGGATGGTGCTATTGACGCTTTCCTGATAGCAGCGGCAGCCGTGGCATGCAGGTAGCTTATCAGATTCGCTAGCACTGCAGATGTAACTTCCAAATCTGAAGAAGAGAAAAGAAAAAGACAACATATAAGGACTGGTGGTTGCAGAGACTGTACTAGTATTCAAAAGCCAGCGTTTGCATACCTAGTCTGCATACCTAGTCAGAAGCCAATTTTTTCCAACATGCATGCAAAACGCACTGACCTTCACAATTGATTTTCACTTCGGGAATAGCTGTTGCGATGACGGACAGCATTTGTTGCCATGCTTGCGAAATATCAGCACCCTTGCATGCCTTCAGCTGGCACACTTCCTGGCGTAGCAGATTTGCAGTACCTGATGCCTTGTGTAACCGTGTCATAATAACATGCAGGAATGACTCCGTCGCCTCAGTAACACTCGCCTGTCTCATTGTCAGCAGTTTGCAAATTCCATGGATCACTGCACCTTCCATAGGCCTGTACACCATGATGGCACTACCACTCTTACATCGATCTGCACATAAACAAAGTATGGTTTGAGGATGGAGGTTTACATCATCTACGGTGATGATACATACTAGGTACACACGTAAATTTTCAGGACTTCAATAAATATCCTGTCACAGTGAACAGACAATGCATCGTGGGTAGACTAGGATGAAAAGGATGGTGTCGACCACCTAATTTATCGGGTCAGTTCGGGCACTTAGGTATGCTACAGATTATACATTCGTGTCCACAAGGAAGAGACAAAAACATGCAAACGAAAGAATCTCACCTGTAGCCCACAGCTGAACATCCCCACAACTCAGGTCACCAAGTGAATACGTGGCATCATCTACATCTTCCACGGTGGACTCATCACTTTGGCAGTCATCTCTGTCAAGCTCCATCATCCTTTACTTCGAAGGCCAAGGCACAAAGTATTATTACTTAGAAAAACAAAACGAACTGCTGACACTGGATTCGTTGTGTGCAGGATAATTTTTATTGAGTTTTCAAATTTTTTGGACCAAACAGCGAACGCGTCCTTTTGCATGACCTGCGCCGCTTTGACCTCATGGGAAGTCCCTCGCCATGCAGCGCGTGAGGTCTCAGCACTCGTGCCCGAGCTGAGGCAATCATCCGACGCGGTACATGTAAACCTCTTGATATGATGTGAAGGCCATCATTCACATAATTCATGTAGGGCATTCCATTGATTGGTGACAGAAAAACAAAAGAAATTATAGCAATAAAAACTGCTTTATGGCAGTTTTCTAAAAAAAGTTATTGTGTTCTAGTCCATGGACCCCGTCTAAAAAGTAAGAAATTACCGAAATGTGATAGCTGAAAATTAAAATTTCACACAAAACCTCACAATAAATCACACGCAGAATTAAAAGCTACATGTAGAAGACCTTTTCCCCTCGTGATCCTCTTTCCTATGCATGCATGTTGCCAATTGTTGGTGCAGTACAAGTTAAAGTTGAAAGCAGCATCTCCAGTGTTGTGATTATTGTGAGGTTTTGTGTGAAATTTTAATTTTCAGCTATCACATTTCGGTAATTTCTTACTTTTTAGACGGGGTCCATGGACTAGACCACAATAACTTTTTTTAGAAAACTGCCATAAAGCAGTTTTTATTGCTACAATGTACTCTTGCTAGGCCCCGGTGGATAATGCTAGCATTATATCTAGCATATTTAGCACTTTCTGGAAACTAGCATTGCACTAGCATAATCAGCAGATTTTTGCAGAAAACTAGCATATTCTTGCGAAAACTAGCATATTCTTGCAAAACTAATTATAGAACTGTGTCAGTCGCATCCGACAACACTGGTTCACTTCAAATCTTCAATGTCTGGCCCTCTAGGCTCTACTACTAGTACTACTTGTACTCAAGTTGTAGTAGATCTATGACTCTGGCTGGGAGTCTACACAAGCGTTGGGAAAAAAAACTTGTGATGGGTGTACATGAGAAGGCGGTGAGAATGGGAGCGTTTTGTTTCCACCAACTTTTGCTTATTATTCTTTGTTAGCTGATGAAGAACACACGTAATGGCTATGTCCGAGCAAGCAGCCAGAGATATTGTTGATCTAGTAAGCAGTAGCGATGATCACTTTGATTCCGAGTTTGACGATGAAGACGCCTCAGAATCAGAGTCCGAAGAGGACGAGGTCAGGACAGCGTGTGAACGTCTTCCCGAACCAGCCAGAGCAGCGATTTCCCGAAAACGATCTTCCCAGAGAAGTGGGAAGGAGTCCGTCGCTAAACGTGGGCGAATTGCCGGTGGAAGTTCCACATTGACACCTCGTGTCAGCGTCCACCATCGCGTGCAGGGGAAAATATTTGACCGTGTCCAGTGGGAAGATTTACTGCAGTGCTTGCAGCCAGACAGTTCGACAGAAGAACAGCATTGTGAAATCACACATTTCGAGCCAAACGCACAAGACGGCCAAAGAGCGAAAGTCACGAGGCCAGCGACACCAGCAAGCGCTAACAGCTTCGTGGGAGAAGTACACTACAGACCAGGGACTACTCCCTGCTACAGACCATAAGAAGGAGCTGGCAGGAACAGGGCAACCTGGTGCTGTAGCCAATGATGTCCTCATTCGAAGAGCCAATGTTGTAGAGTCTTTCCTCAAAGCAGGTGTGAAGTAAGCAGCTAGTACTAGTAACTGAATACATGTACATGCGGTACTCTGTGTGTTGCTATTGTGTATCTACTTCGAAGTAGTTTCAACACTTGAGTGCAGGTTGGAAAACCAAAACATTTTAATCAAAAAGTATTCTTTCTAGACCAAAGAGTGGTATATTTGATAACATTTAATAACGATAGAAATTTTTACGATACTTCTCCAGACGTTTCGTCGTTCTGAACAACATCGTCAGTGGATAAAGAATTTTTCCTTATCCACTGACGATGTTGTTCAGAACAACGAAACGTCTGGAGAAGTATCGTAAAAATTTCTATCGTTATTAAATGTTATCAAATATACCACTCTTTGGTCTAGAAAGAATACTTTTTGATATTACAATGAGAGTGAATAATCAACGGCTTGTCCACCAACTCTTTGACATTTTAATCAGCCTGCCGTATTATTCCATCATGGCTGGCACAATGTTTCTGAATTCGTGTTCCATAGTACTCCGCCAAACTCAACCACTAAATAGCACAGTTGAAGTATTCAAATTATGACACCAAAGACAGAAGTGTGCCTCAATTGTACATGCTGCAGCTTGCACCCTGTCAAGATGTCCACTGTACATGTATCAGAATACCCATAACTGAGACGTGTTAATGCACTCCCAGCGGGCATACATGTTATTGTATCAAAAGTGGCTTGCTATGTTGTTGCCATGTGGTGATCATGAAGTATAATGTATTCTACCTGCACTATACTAGCCTATAACGGCAGTGTTGCATGGTGAACAATGTGTACCAGGTAAACAGCGCACCAAGTTTTTAAATTAATATTACATCCCGTAAGTTTTTTTGTGGAGTTGCGTGAAGTCCATCCGTGACACTTTTTTGACCCCATATAAAGTGGCATTAAATTGAGCATAACGAGCATAACGAGCATTAAAACTAGCATAATGTGCCACTTTTACTAGCAGTGCTAGTAGCATAATTGCCGGAAATAACTAGCATTATCCGCCGGGGCCTAACTCTTGCCATCACTGATTGTAATGCACTGGACGTGTTGTCAAGGGAGTCGTAAACCTACGACTTCCTGGTGTATCTACTTGTACCAAGAGTACATAACCCCCCAGAGTGTGCAACGCCTGATCCAGCTCTGCATAGGGTCTTGGTCGAGCGGAATCGGATCTTTGCGTCATAATACCGTACACATCTGAGGGGAACCCGGTGAGTCGCGGGTACTCTTGGATCAAAAACAATGGTGCCCTGCCTCGAGACCGGTCTTGCGCTGGTGTGAAGTGTACGCATGACATCAGAAGATCCGATTCCGCTCGACCAAGACCCTACACAGAGCTGGATCGGCGTTGCACACTCTGGGGGGTTATGTACTCTTGCTTGTACTTATATTATTATTATTATTATTATGAAATGACCCAAAGGCAATGTGCCTATCGAGGGGTTCATTTGATTGAAAGAACAGTAGATGTAGATGTATGTACAAAGAGATACACGGAAGCCTTGCTTGGTAGTTTAAAGGGGAAGTTAAGGCAAAAATTAAAATTTCACCAGTTGTAGTCTTCGGGGTGCTGAGTCGAATGGTCTTGGTCCGAGAAAGCTGAGACGCTCCCTTCCTACTTGAATCTCAATCGAACTCGCGCACTTCCACCGAAACTGGGTGACTGCGCCCTACTAGATGGGGATTTGTATGCAAAATGTCACTAAAAGCGCCATTTCGTTCTTATAAAAGCACGGATGACCGCGATTGGCCCATATGTTGTAATCTGTTGGACGCTGAGTCGACTGGTTTTGGTCTGAAAAGGCTGCAATGCAGCGTTCCTCCTTTATTCCCAATCGAACATGGTTGAACAAGTGGTCACGTGCTCCTGCGTACACCAGTCACCTGGTCACCGTGCCTGCAGGGTACAACTTACTAGCCTGTTTGACCTTTTTTGGGTGCAGTCCTGTCACTCGAGTTGAACCTTGGTGTGAAAGTTGTCGCCTGCTGGCGTGGTGACCAGATGATTCGGGCACCCAGGAGCACGTAACCACTTGTTCAACCATGTTCGATTGGGAATAAAGGAGGAACGCCGCATCGCAGCCTTTTCGGACCAAAACCAGTCGACTCAGCGTCCAAAAGACTACAACATATGGGCCAATCGCGGTCATCCATGCTTTTATAAGAACGAAATGGCGCTTTTAGTGACATTTTGCATACAAATCCCCATCTAGGAGGGCGCAGTCACCCAGTTTCGGTGGAAGTGCGCGAGTTCGATTGGGATTCAAGTAGGAAGGGAGCGTCTCAGCTTTCTCGGACCAAGACCATTCGACTCAGCACCCCGAAGACTACAACTGGTGAAATTTTAATTTTTGCCTTAACTTCCCCTTAACATGTTTTTCGATTTTGACAGCATGTTACAAGGCGAGGACTTGTAGTCAGGAGCACTATGATTACGCGTCCTCGCCTTGTAACATGCTGTCAAAATCGAAAAACATGTTAAACTACTTGTACTTGTAGAACATGACACCTCTATAGACTATGGAATTTGGTGCGAACAGGCGGATTATTCCATTATTTATGCGATTCGTATGCAATTTGCCTCGAATTATGCGATTATTCGATTTTGGTAGGAATTATGCGGAAAATTATGCTAGCATAATCCGTCAAGGCCTTGACTGGACATATTATCAAGGGAGTCGTAAACCTACGACTTCCTGGTGCATCTACTTGTACCGGTACTTATACTTGTAGAACATGTACAACTGTATGGAATTTGATGCGAAAAGGCGGATTATTCCAATTTATGCGATTCGTATGATTTTAGCCTCGAATTATGCGATTATTCGATTTTGGTAGGAATTATGCGAAAAATTATGCTAGCATAATCCGTCAAGGCCTAGGCACTGCCTTAGCCTACATTACAATTACCCTATAGTTATAACTAGCGAATAGCATTATTATGTTTTATCGTCTGATGAGTGTTTATCAACACGAAACTGGGAGTTACGAGAAAGAGTTTTGTTCTCTGTTGTTCTGCCTTATACAGTCATGTACATGTAGAGTATTACCCTAAGAAAGTATGCTCATTGCCAAGTTGTTCTTCTTTTGACTCGAATCCGCTGCGTTCAGTCCTCTGTCAATTTTCGCATTGCTCTAAAGGCTCATTACTCTCAGCATAGATATTCTCTGACTGGAATTCCGAACTTTTCCGTTTGAGAATTTTTTTTCCTTGAAATTAATCCTTGCTGGGTTTTTTCATCTAAATGTCCCGCTATTATCTGCAGAGGTGATTTCTTCCCTCGCCGATTTCTTTCCTGCTTTTATACCTCGATATTTAGGTACTTGTTTCCCTTCTTCCC